ACACCAAATTCTCAATATTGCAATTAGTGCATAATGCATGATCACCAAAAAATTAAAAACACAATGCAAAGCATTTAAAGTCTGCCCCTTTCCTAAACCTTGGCAAAAGAATCACAAAGTTACAAAAAAAGGTCCAATGTTATTTCCCAAGTCTGGGCATGCATATGCAAGAATCGGAAAAAAAATTAAAAAAAAAAAAAAAAAAAAACAATCCATAGAAATTGGAGTATGCGTAGCATGATTTTGAAGAATTGAAATATAACTACTCAATTCTCAACACACCAAATTCTCAATAATACATGAATCATTAAAAAATTAAAAACACAATCCAAATCATTTAAGTCTGCCCCTTTCCTAAGCCTGGGCAAAGAATCACAAACTTACAAAAAAAAGTCCAATGCTATTTCACAAGTGTGGGCATAATGCAAGAATCAGTAACATATAAAAAAAATCCATACAAATTGAAGCATCCATAGCCTGATTTTGAAGAATTGAATTAGAAATACAAAAATAGAAGAGAGAACCGTGTAATTACTTGTATGATATTCGTCCCCTACTGTTGAGATACAGTCGCAACAGGGCCTCTTTGTTTTCTCCAATAGCATATCCTGGTGAAGAGTTTCAACAAATCGATTTTCAGAAAAGCGAATTGGTTTTACAATTTTTTGTGACGATTTAGAATTAGGTTTTTTGGCTGGTGAAGTTCGGTTAAAGAAAATTCTGTAGAGGGAAGATGAATTGATGAAAAGAGAACGATGGCCCAATTGAAAAGTCAAATTAAACCTATTTTTTTTTTTTTAATATTCTAAAACTTATTCGTTTTAGGATACTGGGAGAATAAATATTTTTGCCGGCTAAAAATTTTAACACGTTATTATAGCGTTTTATTTTATGTTTAGGATTGCCGATAATTTAAAAAGTATTATAGCGGTTATTTCAAGTGATTAAAAATTTAAAAACGAAACAATAGCACCTAATAAAAAAACGCTATAATAATATGCTATAAAAAGTATGTATTCCTGTAGTGAATTTTGATATTAATTTTGAGGAATTTGATGTGCAAATATCGAATTTGTATGGTTTACTGAGTGACTCGAAGTGCATCTTCTAGGCTCTTTGAATTTTTGCTAAGATTTGAATTATGTTTACATATTGATATTATTAATGATTTATTATCGATCGTATCTGTGTTTGCGAATTGTATCTGTGTTTGCAAATTGCAAATTTCATGTCTGAGTTATTTGATGTGAATGCTTATATAGTCGAGTGTATACATAACCATAAAATTTGTTGTTGGTGTTAGAATAATAGGACATAGTAGTATATTATAGTCATCTTCATGTCTGCCAAATATTCATAGTCTATTATAGTTTACATATATGTCTATGTGTTGTTTGTTTATACAATTATATGATTAGTTTAAGGATTAGGAGCGATTATTAGTAGATTTTGTTTACAAGTTGTTTTATATATATAGGAACCTGGATATGCGGTTATTTCTATGCTACACCCGATGACGGTTACACCGAGTGATTTTTTACCGTTAATTTACACACGCCAATGTGGGTGTGTGTTTTTGTATGTATATAAATGGTAAAGATCTACCCGATGTATTTCACCCAATGTAGCATAGTATAAACCTTGGATCTGCTTCGTTGTGCATGTCATTGTGTTTAGAATAATATTATATAGTCATCTTAATGTA